AGAGCAGCCCCACACATTTGCAGAAGAACCTAGTCTGATGGTGACATTTCTAATGGACAAGTAAGTCTAAAAGAACTTTTCCAAATGTCAATGCTTTTCACGTGCATATACAGGAAATATTACAGGGCACGTTGTACACACTTTGTCAGTAAATGTGTGTAACATCAACTATGAAAATCATGCACTGCCATGCATTTTAAACATGTCTTCTCATGCTGATCATAATAAAAATAAGACATGTCATGTTAAAAAATTAGACGTGTTGCATTATTGTAAGAATTTGACTTTGTGTTATATAAATGTACCATTTCACCAACCATCATTGCAGGTTTTTACTCTCTTACAGCCTGTTTTATGTGATAAATCTAAAGAATTGTCCACGTCTACGGGAAGAACTTACTTTGCGTGTGTGACCTCTTATAAAATGTTCATGACTGTGACGATAACTAAGTGTTGCATTTTCCAAATACTCAGCTTTCCTCGCTCTAGATCGCTCGACTCTCCTCTCTGGAATTTGAGCAGATCATCTTGCAATGATGTTAAACGTTGTTTTGATGTGGGCCAAGAGTCAACACTTTTATGAGGTAAGCTGCATTTTTTAAACTTTCAGCATGAGTGCTGAAAAAAACTATGAGTACTTTCTTTAAGTAATTAGGAAAGTTTACTGTTGGCTGTTTCTTTGTCTCTCTCTTACGTCAATGAATCTGACAGTTCTGTCATGCTTAGTTGTTGAACAAAACTGGCTGCAGCTCACATTGTCAATAGATTTTGTCTCTCATTTCTGCCCATAATTGTAACACAAACAAAAAAAAATTGTTTTGCTCACTCAGTTTTTCCACCTTTGTGCCTCTTTTGACTCTCGAGGTCATTGAGATCATGTAGAAATCGAGAGATAGCTGGAAAAAAGCCTAGCCTCAGGGAAGACTGTGCAGTTATGGATTAGTGAATGACAGAATCTATCAACAAGCTCACCAGAAAGTCTCCATCTCTCTGCAGATCCCCGGCTCTGCAGCTATAATCTTGTAATCCTAGCCATTGAGCTTTAACAACGCACCGCCTTTCCATGCTTGGTGCATGACACAGATATGCAGAGTTCACAGATACGGTGGGTAACTTTCACCCCTATTGTCCTGTCACACTAAATGAAAAATGGACCGTTACTTCTGCAGGAATGTGTTTTTGGGAGAGGCCTGCAGCAGAAAAGCCGAATCCTCATCAGCTGCGTTGGTCGTCGGTGTCACGCAGCCTCACGGGGATCGACCATGCTTCAGGTGAGTTTTCAGCTGTTTAATCATCAGGCAGGTTGTTCATATTTTATACTGCAAACACAAAATGTCGAGCTGTTGAAAGCGTGACCACTTGAGAGTAAGCTAAACAGCAGCTATAAACACAACTCCACACGGCACTCTAGTGAGATGATGGAATAAATAACATGGATAAACATTCCAGCAACGGGAAGCCTGACTCATTTTAACGGGAAAAAACCTGAATGGGAATGTGAAGTTATTTCACTAAATAACTGAATTTATGCAAAGGGAAAATGAACTTTAACCTGTTTTATTTTCCTTTGATCCAGGTGGTTTTCATTCAACGCTTTGCATACTTGCAAGTGCACTGCAGGGGGATTATGGTCAGGATGTGGCCGTCCGAGCAGCATCTGGAGCTCTGCGTGCCTGGAGCTTCAAGCGAGGGGCACCACCATCCCCATTCATCCTTCTTTATAGCCTCAGCTTAGTTATTACACAGACAAAAACACATGAGGTCATTTGTTGTCTCTTATTGTTTATAGTGATGCGTGAGAGCTGGATAAGGATTTAAAGGAAAATCTGGAGACAGAAGAAGATGGGGTCAACTCTGTTTAATATATGTCTCGTTGCTTTGCATCGTGTGGTGAAGATAGCACGGATCTGCTTTTCATTACTGTACAGAGGGGTTTAAAGAGGAGCGTAATGGCTGACTGGAGCTTTAACCCCGTCACTCTGACACCTCAAACCACCAGAAGCCTCTCATGAACCCCCCCCAGCCACACTCAACCTTGACTAGTAAATGGGAAACAGCTTTCCAACCTCACGTCAGCCTCCCGGTACCAGGCGCCTCGTGCATCAGAGCCTGAATGGAATCCAACAGCGCAATGTCCATCCATTCATCAGAAGCATTGATGGCAGGCCCGCCGTGTAAGAGTTACAAAGTTGTGAAGTGCAGGCTTCCCTCGGCCCGATCACTGCCAGCCTAACTGAGAAAAGGACCCGTCAGGATCTGAGAAAGTGTGTCCAGTCCCATGAGAAATGCTCCTCCAGTACAGATTTGAATCCCCGGAGTGTAAAAGATGTGTCAAACGTCCCATTGTGGTAAAAGTTTCCTGTGTATTTTCACATCGGTGAGAGGAGATGACAAACACAAAAGAAGGATGGAGATGAGGATAAATTGAACAAGGGATGAAAGACATATCCTGTAGAAGTGCGTAAAAAGAGGAAGGAGGTGGTCTTTGTTATTATTTGGTCACCCGTGTTTTCTCTCCTTTTCTCCGACCTCGATCGGGCCTCCTTGGCTCCGTTTGTGGTCGGGTTCCTCCACAGCTGTTCTAGTCAACAAGGTTTTTTTTTTTTTGTTTTTTAAATTTCTTGTCACCAGCTGCTCAGGCTGTGATCACAAGCTGTAGGCTAGAGGGGGGAGAGGTTTATTGCTGCTCCAAAAAAATATAAAAAATCAAAAAGGATCTCATGTTGGACAGAAAAACCCTGAAAATTTAGGTCATCCATGTCTGTCCGTTTACCGTTATGTGTATGAGTAAAACAGCTTCTACGATCTTGTCATTTTGTTGGGAATAAAAGTTGTTTTGTTAGGCTTTCAGTTTCCATTTTTTCCAACAACCTTGGAAACACACTGCCAGATAAAAGATGTTTGAAGGGACTGCAGCAAAGGATCCCGCTCAGAAGTCATGATGGGGAGCACACAATGGACACTCTGTGATCCAGGGGGAGGCTGGAAAGCATAAAAGTAGTTCCTCATTTTAAACTTTTCCTGCTGCCAATCTTAATCCATGAGTCGGGGCTCTCTACGAACACTAATGTATCCACTCCTTCACACATCCAGTTTGATGGGTTGGTGCTTTTCTTAGTAACTGATTGAGTTTTAATGTAACCCTTGAAACAGCTTGAGGATGGATGATATAAATAATTTACCTCATTTCTAAAGGGACCTCTTTGGCCCCTCCACCCCCACCCCCCGCCTGTTGGGGGTCACTGTGTTTAATAGCTGGCCCGCCATTAACCCCTATGACATCTGGTGCAAACAAAAGAACCGCTTTATGGTCTAATAAACACACTCAGAAGTCAAGAAGGAAGAATCAATCACTTTCATCTTGCAGCATTAAATTTTAAAAGGTTGTATTCTTTTATTTTTCATCTTCATGCTCATTATTTTGGTTACTAATCATCAACACCTCCTGTTGCCTTGCTGTTCTGTGAAAAATGTCATCATCACCCAAATTGCTAATAAACTTCTCTTCTCAAAACCTAAGGATGACCGCAGGTTATCCCTTGCTTCTTCCTCCTACTGGTTGAAAACAGAATTACAACTCAAATAACCCTGCCACAGCCTGCTGTAGCTAGCGCTAACAATGAGCTAAAGCTAACATGAGACAAGTAATATTAAATTAAACCACAAAATAAAAAGGTCTACACTGTTGGACAAAACATTACTTACAAGTCCAGAAGTTTTTTCTTCTTGTGCTTTTTACTGATAGTCAGCAAACTGAGAAAGCTAACTGCTAACTGATTTATGGCTGCTAGCTGTTTCTCTGAATCAGGTAGAGAGCTCCACCTATCAAACCTACCTGTACCACAAAACAGTTGAATGTAGTTTCTGGTCAGCAACGGGTTACAAAGTGCTGTCAAATGTAAAGTTGGTAAAGTGACTCAAAAATCACTGACACCACTTAGAAAGCAATAGCTTAAAATGTTAAAACTGTTTACCTTTAAGTCCCCACTATTCAAATACATCTCAGTTCTCATATGAATAAAGGCTTTTCTGGACTTTTTCATTCATGGTTCAAGAAAACAACTTCCTTCCACGGAGCCAGCAAAAAATGGCCCTCCATGCAGTGAGGGTGGGAAAATTTGGATGCACAATTGAACATGACAACCAGATCAAACAGCATAGCATAAACATTACACTCCTGCAAACCTATTTATTCCAGGTCCAACACTTTGCCGCCTGCAACAATGATTCCAGCAGGAAAAAGCAACCATTTCCATCTTGCAGTTTGGCATAAAACAGAACCACAGTGACCTAAAAGCTTCACATTTTAAACTCCTGTAAGTAAGTTACCTTGCAGAGAGACAGGTGATTGAGCTGCATGAAACTGATTTAGCACAAGCAAACACACCATGACCTTGTGAAACCTTGAGAGCATGAACACCATCTAGTTCCTACATGTCAAAGCTTCAGCCTGGACGGAGTGCAAGGCCATTTCCTTAATGCGCCTCACCCCCTCCCCAGTCTCATTTCCTTCTTACCCAAACAAAAGCTTAGTCTCAGGTGGGGTGGGGGGGGGGTCAACCCTCAGCCACTTGTTTCTTAGCAAAGCTGACTGCAAATACCAATTCTAACCAGCTTCGTGTATTTAGGTACATAATTACAGAGAATGGAAGGTTGGAGCTTCCTCATACTGACCTTGGGATAGTTTTATTAAAAGGCAGAGCTCATTGCCTCCATTCTGGATAGATAGCATTTTAGCAGGTGAGCTCCCTCAAGTGCTTTGTTCACATTAATGGAGTTAATCTCAAAATCCTGTTCAGCAAACACTTCAGTGCTTTTACAGGAAAGCCTCCCAGGAGCAGTGACTAATGCATTTGCTGCAGGAAGTCAGTTTGGAAATGCATCCATCCTTTTAAAGTAGAAGTGTCGGTGCTTTAGGTTCACAATAGAAGGATGTCAACTAAATGTCTGGGAAAAATTAACATCAAGTGACAAGGTAGTAGCAAATATAATACATTGGCTATAGTTCAGAGTAAACCAGCTTTTATTGAGGTTGTATGATAATCAGCATCCAGCTTTCATCTGGCTGTGGGGGGGCAGAGGCTTGTTCAGGTGGATGCCCACAGTCAGACCAAACTCCTTGCTGGCATGTTGCTCATGGACATCAGGCTTCAGCTGGAAGGTCTTCTGGTCAAAGGAGTCCAGAGGGATGAAGGACAGAGGCTTCTCCTCCAGGAGGCCCTGCAGTCGTGTACGCCAGCCCTCCAGCATGCCTTTACGATCTTCAGCAGCTGCTAGAGCGGGAGCCCAGAAGATCTGAGGGGCCAGAACCTGGAAGCCGCAGTAGTTCAGAATGCCGTTCTGCAGACAGAACAAGGTCATGTTAGTCCACGGCACCCGAGATCTGGTTTAATGCAGATGGTCCAACACACACCTGGATTGGCCACAGGGTGACATTCATGTCTCCATTGATGCCAGTTGGGCTGAACATGGATTCAAGAGACCCAGTGGTGAAGGACAACATGGTCTTCTTGTCCTGCATGTAGGCATATTCAGTTAATGGGTTCCTTAATTTACTGCAAACCTCATGGACCCTCACCTTGAAGACTCCCTGGCTGTAGAGCTGCTCCGTCGAGAAGGCAAAGCCATTTGTGAGCACCCTGTCGATCCAGCCCTTCATGATTGCAGGAAGACCAAACCAGTACATGGGGAACTGAAATAAAAGTAAAGTTGATCTAAAGGGTTTACATGACAAGTACATCTGTTTTATACTATATACCTGAAAGATGATCAGATCTGCCTCAATGATTTTAGCATGCTCCTTGGTGATGTCCTCTGACAGCCTTCGTTCCTCAAAGGCAATTTTGGTCTCCCTTTTGTAACTGAAGTGGTCAGGGTCCTGAATTTCTCCTGAAACGAAATTTGTTTAATTCAAAAGTAAGGCAAGTTTAGTCTCCCGTAGGTAAGAGAAGTGGTCAGCATCTTTCACAGAACCTACTCAAGGTACATCAGATGTGACTGGGTCAAAACAAGGACTAGTTTTCCTGTGGGAGCTCATACCTTTGATGTCATCAACTGTAGCTGCAGCTTTAAAGTCCATGGCATACAGGTCAGAGACTTCTACAGAGCAGCCCTGAGCAGTCAGAACCTCCACAGCAAGATCTTTAGCTGCAGCGTTGAATGAGCCAGAGCTCTGGTGGGCGTAAACAATCAAGACCTTTGCTGTAAAGTCAGAGATGAAAGTAATGTCATTTCCAATCAAGTAACAATATTCATCTACTTTTCCAGACACAGCCAATGATGAAGCAGAGAAACTGAGGAAACAATCAAATGATAACAAAAGTTATGTGCATTACCCATTATTGAAGCAGCTCTTCAGCTGAGCCCAATGTCCTTTATTTTAGCTGGTTTCAGAGACATAAGTAGAAGTTGTCTTCATGTTGCTTTTATACACCGTTTTAGCTCTAACTGACCCAGGTGGTGTCAATCTGCAGCTGTGGTCATCAATCACTCAGCTGCTTTCCATCTCTCAACTAGAAATAGGAACTGGCTTTTTTAACTAAAGGAAAAACTTCTACAATAACACACTGTCCTAGCATTAGCACTGTCTGTGACTTTAACCCAAGAAAGTCAGAGGTTGATTTTTTTTTACTTGTATAGTCCCTGCCACTTGCAGCAGAAATTCTCACAGAATACAAACACAGCAGAAACATGGAGATGGTGGTAGCCAATCAGAGAGCTGGGATTTCCCCACCTTGTGGGGAGCAGACAGGTTGAGAGGCAGGTTGTGACAGCAGGAAATGTGAAACAACCAAGTTAAAGGTATTAAATAGATAAATAATGACATGCCGTAAATCCTCTAATACAGGCCTGGGTCTTTATTTGCTCAAGCACACCCTGGTTCCGGTCTTTATTGGAAGGAGGCCAGAATTAGAGGCATGCCTCAGTTTCAATTTGAGCAAAATAAACTACCAGTAGAATGAATAAAACCAAGATTTTGTGTCTATTTGAACCTATAAAACACTGGGTTAGTTTATTCAGTTTTGTGTCCAACTCCGTGCTAACCCTTTTCTCCCTCCTTCTGGCAGTTTCGCTCTCTTTTTGTTTCCAGCACTTTATCTTTGAAGTTGATGTCAAATGTACATCTCCTGGCTCTGCAGTGGTCATGGTAAACGTTAGCCTAGCGGTGACTGAAGTCTCACGTGCTAATCAAAAGTGATGATTGCTGGGTTCCACTCACGTGACCCTGCCGTCGCGCTGAACTCAAATAGTGGACAGGAAGTGTTTTGCTTTACTATAAAACACAGTGGGACAAATGAGAGTGAGTGTATTAAATGAGCTGGGACAGACGCGATATTACAAAAACAATTGCATCTTCCTTTAGGTTATGACTCATGTAGTGGTATTCTACAGATGTATTTTGGGGTTTAAATTATGATCAATAAGATTTGATGATTCCATATAACTATAGAATATCAACCCGATTGATCCTTGAATATTCAACCAGAAGAATTAAGATTCCTTGTTTATTCAGGGATCGTAAGTACACTTCATATTAAATCAGACAAAGTCAAGTGTATAAAAAGTAAGACATTTATTTTCTAAACAAATTATAAGACATGACATCTAGGAAACTATGAGGTGATGACTGTATGATGTGTGAATGTGATGTTATCAGAACCCTCGTATCTGGAAGAAACTGAGTTCTGAGTGTGATTGAATTTGGTCTGCATTAAACTAGAAGTGATGGTTTATAAAACGGCATCAGACGCAATCTGTCGCGCCTACGTAACCTTTTCGGAGATCCCCGGGGTAGATCCGGAATGTGTTGAAGTCAGTGGACTCCAAGGCACCAAAGTCCTTAGGAGAAACTGCAGCACCACTAGACCGGTCTTCGAGTTGTCTCCAGGTCACAACAGGTAGTTCTTTACGTCTATGGAATGACTCTTAATGAGTTGGAGCTGTGTCAGCTTTGTTTGCAGTGTCAGCTGCAGCGTGCAACAGGTTTTGACAGCTTGTCAAAAGATGCGGTGGTTCGAAGAGTTTTCCTCCGGTGGCCAGTACAGAGTTTGGCTCAACTGACTCACTCAGGAAGTGATTGCTGTTTTAGTAATTGCCATATTATGATTTACTGACAAATCAGAATTTGATATGTTAAGGGGGTTTTGCCATCAACCTCAGAAACGTCCCCTTGCTCAGATACAGGAGCTCTGATTTGTGGATCAGAAAGCAATGTGTCATGAGATTACTTTAACCTTATCATCTTGTCATGTGTATGAGTGTGTGAGCTGTCAAGTCATGTACGCTGATTATCTGACAAATGTCTATTGCAAGGACATTCATTTCAGCCGTATTAATTTAGGCACAGATTAATCAAAACATTTCATTTAACCATATTATCCATTCATTATATAATTATTTTAACACCATTATTTATAACAGTTCATTATTATACAAGTTCATGCTTCTTGTTCTGTGAAGCAAAGCAGTCTGAGATAAGAAGAAGCTTGAAGAGAGACCTTGGTGAGGCAACAGCTTGTTGACAATATGTTATCGTGTGTGCCAGGGCACTGCAGAAACTTTCTTGCAGATTAAAGGCACCAGATGCAGACTTATGTCTCCATATGACCGGATACTGAAGAAGTCAAACTGTAGAGGAAAAACTGACCATTTCTGGGCGCTACACTCATATTATTTTAAAACTCGGACTTTTCATAAACGCTGGAGGATTTACCCAACACTGAAGCGATCGACACAACAAACTATCTCATGTGGCAAATCTCATATTACACAGCAAATGAAACACCTTTATGAGTCTGAAAGCCTGCAACAATTTTATTTCATGTTGGGTAACAATTTAGAGATCCGGAGTAGATTGAAATGACCGTTGTCTTGTTTATGCTCGTGAGATGCCATTTTAATTACACAATTACCTCGTAATGATAGCTAATGCTAACGGGGAGTACATGCTAAGATATAATGCTAACTAATATTTTATGCCTTTTTAAGTCCAAATTTCTTGTACATTTTTTTGATTTTATTAAGGTATTAATGCCACATTAAACACTGAGCTAACTGCTAAAAACATTAGCACTCTAAAAGCTATTTGTGGTGAGGACACGTGTAAACAGTATCAAACTGTGTACCTGCTGTTTTTGTAGCTGCATTTCTAAATAACTGTTCAATAAAACAACATAAAAAACTTTTAGTAAACCCTTACCTGTGATAAAGTGATCAATGCAAACTGTAGCCAGAGATTATGATCCACTACTCCATTTTCGTTGAGTACGTTTCAGTAAGTCCTTTGTGGCGCACTACTTTCAGGACACGAAAAAAAAGTTTGTTTTTGTCTTAATCGCACAGAATTTGGGCATTTTTACACCCAGTCAACAAATTAAATAAGGTTCTGTGCTGCAGCAACTACCTTCTGACCCAGCTCTGCAGTTGGTGACATGGATGCAACGTTGTGTGAAACCAACTTGACACCTCCAGCCCACTCTCCCCATGGACATACCGGCAATGATGATGCTTCCAGAGAAAAAAAACTGTGTTTCTAATAATAGCCTGGGCCACAATTAGAGACCGGTCTTTATTTACCCGCCCGCTGACAGCGAGGCCGGCTAATGTAGGAGACCCGACCGTTAAAGGAATAAAGGTCAATATTAGAGGACTTACAGTGCACATAAGTTATTCCAAATCTTTTACCAATATAGTGTAATATCATCAGCAAATAAAGTGGTTTAAAAAGTTAAAGTCCCATTAATTCATCACACCATGGTGAAATTCATCTCCGCATTTGATGCATCCCCGTGGGGAGAGGTGAGCTGCAGCTGTGGCCACATTCAGGAACAATTTGGTGATTTAACCCCCCCATTCAACCCCTTAAAGCTGCGTGTCAAGCAGGGAGGCATTGGGTCCCATGCTTAAGGTCTTAGGTATGACCCGACCAGGATTTGAACCCGATCTCCCAGTCCCAGGGCAGACACTACCACTAGGCCAATGCATTATACATTGTTTATGTATAATGCAGACAGTTTAGGGCCCAGGATTGACTCGTGGTACACCAAACGTGACCTTGAGTCAATACATTGTTTCTACACATACTGATGTTTGATAGCCTAGTCAACTAGACCAAATTCTTGCTTTGCAAAGAATGGTCTAGGCATGCTCCATTGGAACCTCAGCAGCTCCTACCAGGACTCTGGCTAGCCAATCACAGCTCTCTAGAGGGGTTTCAAACACATAAAGAGCTGTGATTGGTCCATAATGGTGGGCCAATCATAGTGCTCTGCTTAGTGAACAAATCACAGAGCTTTATCCGCTTTGTGGGCCAATCAGGGCATTCTATATGCCTGGTGGGTGGGATGCAACGGAGTGAAACAAGAGTATGTCACATTCATTTTCCAGTGGAATGCAGAGATCATTTGAAAGACAACGGTAGAACCCGCCCCACAACCGAGAGCAGTCAATGGAGCGTGGCCAGACTAAATAATACATTTTAGTCTAGCTTGCCAGGCTAGATGCTTGATTCAGGCAACTCTTCATCCAGGAATGTTCTGTTGCTCTGACAATGATTTCCAATTTATGCAAGTCATTTGTGGCATTGAAGGTTGGCCAAAAAAAAGATACAGTGGGGGTGTTTTAGTTGCATTAAAGCCATTGAAGTTGATATTCTCTTTATTTTCATACACTAAACTCAAAGAATGAGGGACTGGATTTTGGCACACTTTTGCAGCCTGATAAAATTTCTTGGTAAAAAGTTTTACACCTTAACCAGGCTCTTCAGAGAATCTGGAAAAGTTTCAGTACCATGACTTTTGACAAGGGCAAAGACTCGTTCCTTGCAGCTTTTCGGTTTAAGTTTCTTTGCAAATATATAACACAAATGTAAAGCAAAGCTATGTGATGCAGACCACTCAAAGGGTTAAGTTGTCTACATGTCCATAGGGAGAGATAAGCACCACCATCTAGACCATGGACAACATTTACCATAAATGGTGCTTAAACCTGCCTACATGTAACAGGATCATCATTTTCCCCATACTGTCAAATTCAAGTTCAATGATGTGGAGGGTGCATTCAAACACAAGCTCAGAATAAACCAGCTTTTATTCAAGTACAATTCAGCATCCAGCTTTCATCTGGCTGTGGGGGGGCAGAGGCTTGTTCAGGTGGATGCCCACAGTCAGACCAAACTCCTTGCTGGCATGTTGCTCATGGACATCAGGCTTCAGCTGGAAGGTCTTCTGGTCAAAGGAGTCCAGAGGGATGAAGGACAGAGGCTTCTCCTCCTGGAGGCCCTGCAGTCGTGTACGCCAGCCCTCCAGCATGCCTTTACGATCTTCAGCAGCTGCTAGAGCGGGAGCCCAGAAGATCTGAGGGGCCAGAACCTGGAAGCCGCAGTAGTTCAGAATGCCGTTCTGCAGACAGAACAAGGTCATGTTAGTCCACGGCACCCGAGATCTGGTTTAATGCAGA